GGCCGGGATGGCTACTCTCCGCAGTGAGCCGAGCGACAGCGTGCGCTGCGCTCCTCAATGGCAAAGCTTGCATCACCGCCGTGTGGCCCAGCCGCCCTGAGCAGCGTCCCACATCCCCCCCTCCCACTCATTGACCCCCCAACCCCCACCACCACCACCACCCGCAGGTCCCCCAGGCGCGCGGGGCCTGCAACTGCCCCATCACTGTGAAGCTGTCAGGCCGCGACATGCGCCTGGCGTGCCCGCGCTCTGTGGCCAACGTCACCGACTACTACTGGCAGGTGCGCAGCATGGCCAGGAGCCTGCACAAGGGGGTGCGGCGATGCCCTGCCATCACCACGTGTGCCTTAGCATCCATCCACCCTGCGCATATCCTGCGAGACACGGTGCACCCCAACAATACGCGCGCCAACTGCAAACCCTCTCTCGGACAGTCCTGATGCCCGTCCCTGACCGCCATCTCCCGCCCCAAACAACCCCCTCCCAGATCGCCGCCCAGATGGGCTACACCTGCTGGGAGGGCCGCTCCCAGGCGCCCCTCACGGACTACCTGGAGTCACCCAACAACGCGGCGTCGCCCTCCGACACACAGGGGCCCGTCTTCGGCGACAGCGCCCCCGCGCCGCCGCCGCTCACACCTGGCGGCTCCGCAGGCGTGGGGATCGCGGTGGTGTTTGGCACCCTGGGCCTGGCGGCCCTGGCCTACTTCGTGGGCTACAAGCGCCTGTGGCAGGAGCACAGGGCAAAGAAGTTTGAGCGGTTTCAAGATGGCGGTGGCGGCGCCGGCGGCGGCGGCAGCGCACACCTCACGCACGCGGACGCTGCGGCGGTGGCAGCAGCTGTGGAGGGCGTTGCGCCGGCGTCGCGCTCGTGACTGCAGGCCTGAAGCGCAAGGCAGCGCACTTTGCGGCAGCGTGCGAGCAGCTCCAGTGGCTCCGTGCCACCTTCTCTCTGGGGTGCGGTGAAAGCCAGGCGCGCCTAGCGACCAAATGGGCGCCCACCGCCTGCATCCCTGCATCCCTGATGTGCCTCAAGGACGGCTTCATTCTCCTGCTGTGTGGATGTGGATGTCTTTACCTCTTGAATTGTGTGCATCGCTCAGCACACGTGTGCAATGTGGATGTTGTTGGCACTCCCAGCAGGCTCGCCGCCTGAGTCGGTAGACGGCCCCCTATCAGCGCAGCTCTGCCCCTGGAGCATGGTCTCGTTGACTAGGTGGATGTAACATCATTCTGGTGGACTCTGTATGGGAGTAATGATCATTGATTGTGTCCTGCTGGATCCAATCCGTCATGCCTCGACGCTGCACGCTGCACGGCCGGCGGGCCCTGGGCTGTTGCTGCAAATGGCCGTTGCAGCTTCCCAAGCCTTGGTCATTTGCGACTCAGAGAGTGCATGCTGGGGATGCTCAAGGCAGGCAATGGACTGGATGCCACAGCGGCACAGCAAGCCAACCGCCTGGCGCCCTGCCACAGGCGATGGGGCACTCAATGAGTCAACGGGCCCCTGCCAGTCCCTCATCCCCAATGCGTTGCCGAGCAGCCATTGACAGCTTCACAGCCCAAACCCATCTCAGAGACGCCAACGGTGCGGTGCGAAACAAGGAGATCCTGTGCGGCAGCCCCACGCGATCTCTTCCAGTTTCCGTGGCCACCGTCAGCTCGCCTTTCGCAATGGCAGCTCGTGTCATGACGAGGGCGCAGATGGGCACCGGCATGCGCCCTCTGCAGTCCAGCAGCAGGCCCGTGTTCGGGTCGCCTGCCAGGTGCGCGATGCGCAGGTGTGCGTGGTGCGCGACGGTCCCTGGGCTGGAGCAGCGGCGGGTCGCACGTAGGTGGCAAGTGCTAGCCTCAGCGTGTTGAGAAGCCTTTAAATCAGCCTAACTTATCCTCATGTCAGCAATGGGGCAGCATTGTGATCCCCCATTGTTGTGGCTGGACTGGTGCCATCCTGGGTGGCTCCTTACTGCAGTGCTGTCCCATCGCCCCTCCAGGCTCGCCGCTGGTGTCCCCGCGCAGCGCCTGCGCCTGGCAGCCGCCGAGCAGCAGCGGTCTCACACACAGCAGCAGCAGCAGCAGCAGCGGTCCTTGGTGGCGATGCGGTCGTCTGCCGGCAGCGAACTCGTCCCCGATGACGAGTTTGCCATCTCCAAGATCTCCTTTGGCTCCATCCTCACCCCTGTGGGCTGCTTCCTGCTGGCCTACGGCTTTGGCGCCTACTTCATGCTGCTGCCCGGCGCAGACCTCAGCAGCATCATGCTCATCTACGGCTTCCCCATCAGCGTGCTGGGCTTCGCGCTCAGCTACGCGCAGCTGGAGCCCGTGAAGTGCAAGTGGGTGCCTCGAGGTTGCGCTGGGTTATGGGGTGTTTGATGATATGTTGGGAGGGGGGGAGGGTGCAGAGATAGGCCGTCAGGAGCAGGAGGGCGGCCTGCATCCGCAGTGAAAAGTGGTTGGGGTGTCATGTTCCTGCAGCCGACGCACTGCCACGCATGCAGTTATCGTGTTGCAACCTATTGGGCCGCCCAGGAACACAATTCCGCCGCAACCTTCACCCCTCCGCCGCCACCATCCCACCACCACCGTCCCCCCCAGGACCACGCGTGGCGCCCTGGAGCTGCGTGACACCCAGATGACCGACATCCAGAAGCAGATCAGGGAGGACGTCACACGCTACAGGTGGGGGGGGGGGGGAGAGTGGCTCCGGGGAAGCCCACAGGGTTGGCGCCGGGTTGCGGTTGGTGTCCTTACCCCCAGGGGTGGCCAGGAGGTGGTGTTCAAAGAAGTGCGTGGCAGGTTGTACAGGGGACGGGCACGAGCAGCTTGACGACAGTGGTACTTGGCACTGGGGGGTGGGCTGAGGCAGCAAGCGCAGCGGCCGCTTGTCCAGCAACACCCCTCGGGCTTGCAGCTGGCGGCCGTGCGCCGCCTGCCAGTCTCTTGGTGTGTCCCGCGGC